GGCGCCAACATGGACACAAAAGAAAGCAGCAATGAAGTTTGGTAGATTACTGCGGAGCCCTAAGAAATGGGCTTGGGCTAGAATGTTATATCTCCACGTGGTGTCATATACCTTCTCTAGATCAAGAAAGACTGCTAGGACAGAGTGGTTGTTAGCAAAGGCATTTTGAATATACATAACTAAGTGGAGCAAGGAGTCTAAAGTAGAGCGACCTTTGCGAAAGCCATATTGTGCATCTCTAAGAACCACATCAGACGTCTATTCACCAATCATTCCATCACCTTGCAGACCACACAGGTCAGGGCAATGGGACAATAGTGAGAGGTGTTAAGCTCTGAGGCACCGGGTTTGCGAAACAGTAGTACAATAGCCAATTTCCAGTGTTGAGGGAGAATCCCTTGCTCCCAAATTAGATTGAAAATATGTAAAAGAATGGGTAAGACCATAGAATGGAGGTGTTGTAGCATACTGATGTGGATATGATCAGGTCCCGCTGCTGACAGCCAGCAAATGGAAAGCGTGGACTCCAATTCTAGAAGAGTAAGTAATGGATTTAAATTAGATAAGTTTAGATTTAGAAAGGACATAGGAAAGTATTGGTTTGGAAATAGGGTAGTTGATGAGTGGAACAGTCTACCTAGTTGGGTTATTGAGGCTAGGACTTTGGGTAGTTTCAAATTTAGGTTGGATAAGTACATGAGTGGGAGGGGTTGGATTTGAGTGGGATTGCACATCAGAGCTTATTTCATGGGTAGCATTGAAAATTGGGTTGGTCAAATGTTTGTTAGTGGGATGAATTGTAAAGGACCTGCCTAGTATGGGCCAACAGGCCTGCTGCAGTGTTCCTCCTTTCTTATGTTCTTATGTTATATGGCTCAAATCCATCAGAGGAGAAAACTAAGGGCAGCTGCTCTGTGGTAGGTTTAGACGCAAGAAATGAGGGACAGAGGTTAAGTCCTTGGGAGATAGTTCCCAATTTCCGTGGCAACTTCTAAGGGTTTTGCAACAACAACTCCAGCAACCCACAGAACAGGAGCTGGGTCTGGAGTGTACTTACCACACAATTTTCGCACCTTTTTCCAAATCGCGCACATAGGGGAAGATGAGTTAATGGTAGACACATAGTCTCCCTAACAAGTGTGTTTAGCATCGCGGATGACATGGCGAGCAACTGCTCTTGCTTGCTTAAAGTCCAGCAGATGCTCCACAGTACGATTATATCAATAACGATCGCACACAGCACGTTTTTAAATGCACTGCATGGGCACATGTAGGAGACCACCAAGGTACACGTCTGAGAATGCCTGCCAAAAGTATGGGGGATAGAACGCGTCACCACAGTTAGGACTAAGGTCGAAAATTGGTGTGCCTGTTCATCAATAGAGGATGAAAGGGGGTTCTTGCTACAGATGGTAAAATGGGAGTACAGTGGTCCCCCGCTTTTCGTAGATCCCGACAATCGTAAAATTCGCCAATCATAGGGATATTTTCGTATAAACATGGACTCGCTTTTCATAGGTTGACTCATGAGTCGTAGTTTGTCCGGGACGCGTACGCACGGCGTGGGCCAGGGCGGCAGCCAGTCTGGCATTGTTTACCAGTGAGCGAAGGTCCCCTCGCGTACTCCAGCGAAATATTTCATAATATTCCATTTATTTTAGTGCTTGCAAGTACTAAATAAGCTACCATGGCTCCAAAGAAAGCTCCTAGTGCCAAGCCTGTGGTAAAGAAGGTGACTTTGAACTCTGCCTGGAGAAAATTGTGGCCAGATTGTGTCGACAAGAGGGATTTTGAAGGATTTGGGACTGACCCTAATGAGCCTATGTCTTTTGTAAAATCAATTGTGGCACTGGGGAGTTCCATGGGGTTGGATGTGAGTTTGGAGGATGTGGAAGAATTGGTGGAAGACCACAATGAAGAGCTCACCACTGATGAGCTGCAAGAGCTTCAGCAGGAAGAGCAACACATCGCAGCTCAGAATCTTGCTGCAGAGGAGGAGGAAGAGAGATGAAAGAAGGTGCCTTCTTCAGAAATTAAAGAGATTTTTACTATGTGGGGTAAGATGGAAAGCTTTATGGAGAAACATCACCCTAACAAGGTTGTTGCAAGCCAGGTTGGCAACATGTACAGTGACAAAGTCTTGGGCCATTTTAGGGAAGTGTTAAAGAGACACCAGAAACAGAGCTCTTTCCAGTTATTTTGTGAGACAGGACTAGAGTGACTCTCAAGGTGGTCCTAGTGGCATTAAGAAACAGAGAAGAGAAGCAACCCCAGAAAAGCAAATGGTACCTGAGGTGTTGATGGAAGGGGATTCCCCTTCCAACTATAAACAATCCACTCTCTCTCCTCCTCCAGTCTCCCATACACTAAGAAGAATCTCCAATAAAGGTAAGTGTTATGCTGTTAATATTTCATTCATCATTTCCCATTGTATTGTTTATGTACTACATGTATATTTCATGTTAAAAAATTTTTTGTTTTAATACTTCTGGGTGTCAGGAATGGATTAATTGTATTTACATTATTTCTTATGGGGAAAATTGATTCGTAAATCGTAAATTTTGTTTATAGTAATGGCTCCAGGAACGGATTAATTACGAACAACGAGGGACCACTGTATAAGTCCCAGTTTGTTCGAGCAATTTGCTAACAAGGGCTACGAAATGGTTGGGTATATATAGCAGAAGTAAGAAGGATAGGAAAGTGATCACTATCATGTAAATCTGGAAGAACAGATCACTCGAAATCAAGTGCAATGGGCAAGAAACAGATAGAAAAATCAATGCAAGAGGGGTAAGCAAGGAAAACTTGGAATATTGCAAAGGAATGGATTGTTGCGAGGGTCTTGAAATAGAAGGGGTAGAAGGAGGTGCATTGGTGTCCATTGGGGGTGTCGTCTCCACAATATTGCTGGAGATAGCATCTGATGTATCAGTTAAGGAAGCTGACAATGCCATGATGCCAGAGGCAGCAGAGGCACTGCAAGTGAAGGTCGAAGTAACTATGGAGGCAACCAAAGAGGTCTGATGGGGGTGGGGAGTATGAACCTGGATAGATGCATTGGTTGAGGTAGAAGAGTCCAGCAGTGTAACAGGAGATGAAGGAGGTTGGAGGGTAACTATGGAGGAGGATGGGGGTGGAACATGGAAAGAGGGGACTACACGAGGGAGGGGGTGAACTTCTACCTTCGTGTGAGAAAGGGGGTTGAGAACTAAGCTCTGAGGTAGAAGATAGATTCTGTACAGGTGATGGACGCAAAGGAAGTGTAGGTCTGTGAGGTCTCATAGACTGAGAAGTAAGCGAGCGAGATGAAGAAGTAGAAGTAGGAAGTGGTGCAGAGGTAGGCGTGTCAGAGGATAAAACCACAAAAGAATTAGAAACTGGGGTGACCTCGTAAGACCCGGACGTAGATGGATTGGGAGGCAGGAGGACCGTCAAGGTTGGAGGTCTTTAGGCTACCCAGCATACGGAACTTTAGGAACCTTTCCTTGAAGGCGGAGCTGAGAGACAGCCATAGTGTAAGGCCCTCATACTCCTTAAGATAACGGATCTCTCATTCATTACGATAGATCTGGCAACAGCATGAAAAGGAAGGATGAGGTTCCTTACAATTGAAACAAGAGGGAGGAAGACTGCAAGATGTGTTGGAATGATATGCTGCACCGCAGACCAGGCATTCCACCGCAGATCTGCAGTGTTTAGCAGGGTGCCCAAAATGCCAGGAATTGTGACACCGTTGGGGAGTGGAAACTACTTAACAAACCTCTAAGCGATGGCCTGCAATATAGACAGAGGACAGAAGCTCATGGCAATCGAAGGTTAAACAAGCGATGTTACTAGGAAAGCGCCTCTGCCCACAAGTGGGCAGGATGTATATATCTACCTTAAGAATAGGAAGGTTCTGAAGGGCTAATTGTCCTAAAATATCCAGGGCAAATGGAATGTCAGCATGGTGGAGGATTACTGCTGGCCATTGAAGCATAATGGTCTCGATGCACAGCACAAGTGAAAATCAAAGTGGTCTCCTTCCCTTGATTCACTATGTAGGCTAACCATTAGGAGCATATTCTTTTAATAAAATCATTTGATTTGATTCCACTTGATTTGGAATTCATGTTCTTAAAACTAAGAGAATAATATGCTTTTCCATGATTACTTGCCTAATTATAATAAATTAACAATTTATTAAAAATTCACATTTTTTATTATTTTTTATTCAAAATCCTTATGTGATAGAGCAAAATGGCTTGAATATTTACAATCAGCAGCTCAAGAATAAGTAAGATCGCAACCATGAATAAAATGAAAATTAAAAGCATTCCAAATGCAGACCAGTGTTATAAGTGTACAAAAAAATGAAAGACACCCAACTGTTCCTTGGGTTATCTATCCTAATGCCTCCTTCTAGGCAGGCAACTAATATAGACCAATAAATAGTTACCTACCTGTAGTGCAAATTAATACACTTGGAGGCATACATTACATTTGATGATACATACAGAGTGCACTTCCTAATTTCAGATGACCCTGCGTCTGTTACACATTAGTTCATTTCATTAGAGGATTCGGCCAGTAATTTCCATTTTTCGAGAGAGTTAACACTCAACACCTCACAGGAAGGCCACCCAGGCTACACTACCCAACAATGTACACCTCCCTTCCCCTCTCATTTTGAAAGTACCCACCTGCACCCTCACTGGTATGTTGATTGTTCTGTGACTTGATGAGTCACATCAACACTTCACATTTACATTGCATTATATAAACATTATTACATCCTTCGATTCTTGCATACTAATTATAGGAAAATTATAAAAATCCACAATATCTACAGGACTGGATGAATTAATGCAGTTTCATTGTATTACCTTGAATTTGCCTACCACTGTAACTGTTATCATTAATTTATACCATATAACATTCATTATGCAAATGTAGTGTTATTTTATCAATGTAATTGAACCATTAGCCAAAGTATGCATTTTCTTTCTTTTTTGCAGACCGACAGGGAGGTCAAGAGAAAAATGATCCCCACCGGTTTGTGGAAGGATTGAGCTTCAAGGGCAAACTAATTGGAGTACTAGAAGTCTCTGAAGCTCGAGGTGACCGCATGTGCCAAGAAGCACTGGCAGAACTTAAGATGGCTGTGCGTGCTGCCGGAGAACATAAACAGAGAATAGTCATTAATGTAGCCATGGATGGGATCAGATTACGCGATGAAAGATCTAGTGTAAGTAGTACTTCATTTCATAATTATTTTTTTATTATGTAGCTGGCTGTACCGTTGTCAAATTTTGTGACTTGGAATTACTTTTAAATGTTGTACTCGTATTACTCATGCAAAACTAATATCAACACTTGCTTTGATAATAACTTTGATTACATTTTTTAATACATTGACTGTTTCCCACCATAGCAGAGTGCCCTAGAGAAAAAAAAACATTCGCCGTTACTTGTTCCCTAGCATTTTTTCAAAAGTGCAAAGGGATTAATTACAATTTAGAATGGTCCATCACACTGCACGTTTCCACCCATCCTTCAGAATGAAGGCACTGTACTTCCCTCTTCATGAACTCTAAGTCCAGCTAATCAGTTTCACTAAATTTCATAGCTATTATCTTTTTCACGCTCCAGTAGCACTTCAAATCCCCAAAACCACTTTTTCCCAATCATTGAAATCTAACACATTTATGCATGCCTGCTTAATGATCAAGCTCCTATCTTTCATAACCGGTTACACCCTTCTTTCAATCCTTCCTGGAATGTGTCCCCTAGACCTCCTTTCATCCACTTGAGATTTATACACTCATGATTAACTCACCTTTATCCATCCTTACTCACTCTCTTAACTATGCCTTTCACACCACTACATCATCTATTTTTTTACTCCTTAATTTTTGCATAATACAGTAGGGCCCCATTTATACGGCTGGTTAGGTTCCAGGCTGTTGCCGGAAAGCAGACATCGCCGGAAGGCAGAACTCCATTTTTTTCCATTTATAAATGCATATAAATGCCAGACAACAAGTTTACACTAAATTATATTAAGTTAGTAATAGAACTAGGCATTAAAAACACACAAAGTAAAATACAGTCGCAGTAAATTCATTATATCTTAAAGTATTTGTAATCTTAATGTAGGGAGAGAGGTGAGTAGTACTTATTTGTAGGAAGTCAGGTGCAGGTAGCCCAGGTGTAGGTAGCCCTGGCTCCCCGTCTCATACTTAATATAGGATATTTAAAACATCCCAGAGAGGTAAAATGCACATTCAGTACACTCATTATTTACCTTAAAATATGTGTAGTCTTAATATAGGAAGAGAAGGGAGTAGTATTTATTTGTATAAAGTCAGTGTAGGTAGCCGGTAGGTGTAGCCTGGGCTACACCTACCGGCTACCTACACTGTGGCCCAGAGCCATATAATTAACATCGACATGCCTTGTTCACTGAATTTAATAATTTCTAACAACTACCTTTAGATGCCATCATAAACGAAGGTAGAAGTAATGAATAATTCATGCCAAAAATTGTAAACAAAAGCGGAGTGGGGGAGTGGCTGGGTCAAACGCAGATTCATACACGTTTTCTCTGATGGCTGAACAGAGAAAATGTAATGTTGTCCCTCCACCCGGCTCCACAAGTATTATTATCAGAGCATATAAAATATGCAATGGTATAAATGCCAGACAACAAGTTTACACTAACTTATATTAAGTTAGCAATAGAAATAGGCATTAAAACACAATAAAAGGTAAGATACACACAGAGTACACTTATTACTTACCTTAAAATATTAATATTAATGTGTGAGAGGTGAGTGGCAGGGTGTTTATTGAATAAAATCAGAATGGCACACCATCATCCTCTAACTTGGCACTTAAAGCAAGAGGCTTACGACTTCTCTTTTTATTATAGCTAACCTTAGACACCATCGTCAATGAGAGCCAACTAGTTAACGAAAGAGCAAACAGAGAGAGAACGAGATACAGAGTTGAGACAATGTAAGAACACAAACTAAACAGGTAGTGGACGATCACTTGGTCAGGAGAAATAAATGCGTATTAATATGTGTCTACTTTTAGTTCATTCACGTCCATTTGTAAGAGTTTATAAAACATTTACCTCAATATTTTTTTATTTTAATAATAATTACCTCACAATACAAATACTCTTACATTGTGTACAAGTTGTACAAGTTAGTTCAGAATAAACAAACAGCAACACACCATTTTTAGAGTGAATGAAGATAATAATATTAATAATAATAATAATAATAATAATAATAATAATAATAATAAGAAGAAGAAGAAGAATATTATTAGTAGTAGTATTAATAATAATAATAATAATAATAATAATAATAATAATATTAATAATAATAAAAATAATAATAATAATAATAATAATAATAATAATAATTATTATTATTATTTATTATAAAAAGCACTAAACCCACAAGGGTCGTGAATTGCTATACATAGAGTAAAGGCGTACGAAAAGAATATTTTTCTACAGTTACCCCCCCAGTGTTTGACTAGAGAAAACGTAATTCTTCTGACACTACCTGCACAGCTGCTTGTAAACAAATCTCATATTTACATCAATTTTTGTTGAGTGTATGTATCACGTTTATATATGTAATGGGTTTCATATATAATTTTGAGGAAAATATCATAGATGGATTAATGAAAATGCCTATATTGATGTAAAATAAGACATTTAGTGTGCCCAAGAGTGATTATTATTATGTAGTATTGGTGTCATGAGTAGAGAGAGACTTAGCGATTTTAATGTGTACCTGCACACCAGCACAGTGTGTAAGTATATTTAGGTACAGGTACACATAAGTATAATTATCAGAGTACATATAAAATATGCAGTAACTTTAAAACACTTGAAATTTTGGAAAGTTTCCTGACATAATAGATGTAGTCACAGAAAATGTAAGCAAACCGGGTGGGGAGCACTGTATTTAAAAGACTGCTTGCCATATAGCAAATTTTGGTCATAATTTGACATCGCCGTATTAGCGGAACGCCATAAGGCAAAACGCCGTAAAGCGGGGCCTTGCTGTATTCGCACCACACATTGACCATACTTGGCATTTTCACTGCTTCCAGCTTCCTCACTGCATCATTCAAAGATCACACCTCACCCTTGTATGTAAAGTGTTGACACCACTGTACTCTTGATACATTATCAATTTTGCACCCACTGATAAATGTTCGTTCTGCATTACTCCTCAGTACTCATACTAACTTTTTTCTTCCTCTGTTTAATGAGTCACATAACATTTCTTAGTTATTTGCAAATGCATCTACTTCAAGATACCTAAATACAGTGGAACCTCTACTTACGAGTGCACCTACATGCGAGTTTTTCCAGATGCGAGCAGTCGCTCAGTCATTTTTTGCTTCCAGACTCGAGTGAAATTTCCAGATGCAAGCGGGCATCAAGGGAGGTTCCTTGATGCTGGTGAGGGGCTCTTGCTCTTGATTTAGGGAATTGGATCTCATTTGTTTGTTGGACTATCTTATTGAAACTTGAGCAATGTATGATGGATAGATGCTTCTTAACGTACACCAAAATTAAAAGAAATCAGACCATAAATAATGGAGTTTACTTCTCAACCATTAGCCACCCCTTAGTGGTATATTTTCATGTGGTTTTTATGGTTGTATTCTCATTTTTTGGTCTCATTTCATAGAATGGAAGATACATCACAGAAATAGATATGATTTTGATTGATTTCATGACAAAAAGTACAGTGGAACCTCTACTTGCGAGCACATCCACGTGCGAGTTTTTCCAAATACAAGCAGTCGATGGGTCGATTTTTTGTTTCCATACACGAGCAAAATTTCCATAAGCGAGCAGACCTCAAGGCAGGTTCCTTGACACTGGTGAGGGGCTCTTGCTCTTGATCTAGGGAATTGTATCTCATTCGTTTGTTGGACTATCTTATTGAAACTTGCGCAGTGTATGATGGAAAGATGCTTCTTAACGTACACCAAAAATGAAAGAAATCTAAGCATAGATAATGAAGTTCACTGCTCAGCAATTAGCCACCCCTTAGCGGTATTTTTGTTCGGTTTTTATGGTTGTATTCTCGTTTTTATGGTCTCATTTGATAGAATGGAAGATATATTACAGAAATAGATATGATTTTGATTGCTTTCACAACGAAAAGTACCTTGAAACTGAGCTCAGCACAGGAGAAATGTTCGATTGTTTTGGCTGTGTTCAAGAGTAAACAAATGACGTCACTGTTTATTCCAATATGCAGTCGTGAATGGGTTGACATTATTTATACAATTATTGCAATAAGGCATAACAGTAAATCTTATATTTTTTTGTGTGAATAAAAATTACAAATTATTTATATTGTAATAATAATAATAATAATAATAATAATAATAATAATAATAATAATAATAATAATATGTATAATAATAATAGTACGTAAAATAATATAATACAATAAGAATAATAATATAATACATATAATAATAATACATAATAATAATGTACTACATAATAATAATTATAATAATAGATGGCTTCAAAAGGCCGTTACTAGATGGCAGTGTTTACCACAACAGAGGGAGCGGTTGTGGCTGCCTCCACCTGTTACATAATGACATATTTTATTCATTCTAGAGTGTATATCAGGTTTCTGTGTTATTTATATTGTTTATTATTTCATATTAGATGAACTGTGATAGATAAATAAGCAGTAGAGTTGATGATAGCAAAATATTCAAGGGGTAACGTGTCCTGTCTCCAGACACACTCTCTTCGTCCGCTGCTGCCACACATATATAATGACATATTTTATTCATTCTAGAGTATATATCAGGTTTCTATGTTATTTATATTGTTTGTTATGTCATATTAGATGAACTGTGATAGATAAATAAGCCGCATAGATGATATTAGCGAAATTATTCAAAAAGTATTTTGTCCTGTCTCCAGACAAACTCTCGTCCACCATCGACACCGCCCATACCACTACATGAATTACATATTTTATTCATTTTAGAGTATATATATATCAGGTTTTTATGTTATTTATATTGTTTATTATGTCATATTAGATGAAGTGAGATAGATAAATAAGCCATAAAGTTGATTTTAGCAAAATTATTGAAGCACAGAATTCCACTGGAACAGATTAATTGCATTTCAATTAATTTAAATGAGGAAAATTGACTCTGCAAACGAGCAAA